GGCGGAACCACGCGATACCTCACAAATCTGGCATTGGGCTTAAAATCATAACTATCTTTATCATACTTAGCCGTATTTTCATTAAAGCTAGGTTAAGTTGAGGTGCACATACCCCACATATGTGACAACCCCACTCATTCTTACAACTAATCTCCATACCCCACCTATGGATCAATAGTTTTTGATTTAGACTCTAATTAATTCAAGGGGAGGAAACGCGTATTTCCGTTCGTGAAGCAGGTAGGTGTAGTTTTATTTGGTAGTCTGTAGACCGGTTGTACTGTATCCTTTATCTGACAACACCCTAATCACGTTCCAGTCACATCGGGGAAATATTCAATCGATGTAAATTGACAGCCATCCATCTTGTTTTTCTAGAATGTGGGGTTAACCAAAGAAATATTGTTATTTTGTACATTCCGTAGTTAACCCCACATTATTGAAAAACTAAAGTTTTGGGTGCCAATATGTAACAATTGAACGTTACCTCGATGTACTGAGAGCGTAATGAGCATTTGGTAGGTATGGCGGTATTAAAAACGTTCACAGACAACGAAGTAAAACTACCCAGTTTTTGTACTTTCCTGTTGTACTCAACGAAAACACTCTGCGCGTTCCCACCCCTTGCAATACTTCCTCTTTCTATTAATTTAATTCAATCGTATAATTTTTGTAAGCGTATCATGTACGTATAAGGTGATTTTAAATTTAACATGCACATTTAGTGTTCAATAAAATATGATTTCATTAAAAACAGGTTTGTAACTTGACAGGAACTTGTACCACATTTCAAATATGCAATGAATAGTTCACCATCGTTCACTCGGTCCCTTTCGGTCACAGAGAAGACCGAGAGTGCGAATGAAGATGCAGTTCACGGCATCTCGAGGAACTGAACACATGTTTTTTATCCTTATCGGCATGTCCGTCAATCATTCTATTTGTATACACATTGTTTCCAATTAAGTACACAGTTGAACGACAGTCTATATGTATTGGATATATCATTTCTTTCGTATTAAATATAATCCCATCATTCACCTGTATCGTTGGATTTGGATTTGGATCTTTGTATCTGTATCTATACAATAAGACTGTTAATATGCTAGTTTTACTCAAGCACAATACATCAAAGAAAATATTTTAGTAATTAACTATATTGTTATATTTGTCTGATACAAATATATCTATTTAGTGAAACGTGCATTCTCCTTAATTGCTTCATCGGTTATTGTAAGTGTGAAACATGTTTATTTTTTCGATTTCGTGTTGTCATGGTTATATAATTTATAGCAGTATCATACCATACCAGTTTGTTAAGTGTATTTTGTGCAATTCAGATATACACATTTCATTTACAATAAGTACATGTATATGGACTGCCATTCGCAGATACATTACCTATTGTTATAAGCAGTCAATATGTACATGATGCGTGCAGACAAATATATTATATGTCGGATGGTTATACATTACAATATTTACACGATATAGGCTAATGCCCAGATCTTATATCATCAACTTGGTCCAGTGTACATTTCTTTATGAAAGTTGATATCCTTGGTTAAGTAAAATCCAGACATTTAAAAATAACTATTGATTAGTAAAATGAAATTTGTATACTTCAATTACAGACCGTTCTTGTAATTGGTTAAACCTACTCTTGTATTATTTATTTTTCCTTTACTGCCACCTGTTACATCAATCCTAATATCGGTTAAGTGTGATTCTCATAACAGTGCCTTTTATATGGATGCGTCTATCCTCAATAGCAAACCAAATGTGTGTACGATCTTAAGGGAATTACCATTTTAAAAGACTTCCTGGAAACTGGGCTATGCATTTCCACTTAAACCTCTGTTGCTACGAGATAATCATTTGACGAAAACCTAAGTGCATCTTATTCAGTAACGAAGCCTTTAAAATAACATTTTATCTTATACCAGATGTAGGTAAAAGAGCTAGAATTGAATCATCTTAACAAGTAGTGGCAATACAATCTATTTGTTGAATGTAATAAGTTATAACTAAAATTGTTGATATGATTGATTCTTTCACTTGAAAGTTTATGATGTATAGTAATTACGATTCATGATTACATCCAGGTTGATTTTCGTTCACTTCTGTCGCAAATGGGGTAGGGGACAGCGGGGTAAGAAGGATTCCTGGGGCATGACGGACCACCAAGTATATATAGTCTGATATTATATTCTGACATGGGATTATCATGGCACTGACCTCATTCGCCGTTTATTTTGTTTCATTTAGGCGCCAGATTCAATCGGCGGCACTTCCCCCAAAAAGTGACCCTTCTTGCCCCACTTCTATTAGACTTTGGTAAAATTCAAAGACGGTTTCTGATAGAACGACCCTTTTTGCTTCACGGGGGTCCCTTCTTGCCCCATGACCACACAAAATCATTTTTCTCAAAAGTGAGAGGCTTATAAATAGAAATTCAAAAATTCATTTCAAAATCAATACCACTGTATCTCAGAGAACCAATGTTCCTTGTTTCGATAAACATGGGTTCAGCGGACAGAAATCCTAGCAAAATATCTTTACAAGCTGTAAAGCTCTTAGGGTGTCCGTCTTGCCCCTCTGTCCCCTAGCCCGGGGTGGTAGCTAAAATGATGTTGATAAGCGATTGACCAGCATTCGGCATACAGACATGCTAATGAAGTAACGTAAAGTATTGTGTAATGTTAAACCGTTCATGGGACCTTAAACATGAGAATATGGGTATCAGTGTAACCACGGGGGATAAGCAAAACGAGGGCGAAGCCACGGACTGCGACTCGCGTAATTCAAAACGAGGTTACAACGCATTATAGCTGAACAATGGCGGTAAGTCCAAACTTAATTTGGAAGGCATGTTAGGATTTGGGGTAGATTATTGGTTTGGATATTCTACAGAATAGCTAGTATGTTCCAGTCGGTGATCAACATATTCATACTCCACCTGCAATGGCATTCTTGGTGCTCGGCTGTCCAATAGTTTAGCATGAACACGAATGAATTCGAAATCTGCCACAAAAAATGTAATTTTGTCAATATTTGTCCCTAATGTACCGATTTAAACAAAGGAATCAGAAATGACATCGAATTAATATAATTATTCATGTTCTGTTGTTACAATTACATCTTCGTGTGATATTTGGTAAGCGGAAAACGTACAATTACATAGAAAATTGGAATTTATAATAGTCGCAGTCCATCCATCTGCCCAACGCAGTCCGCGAATCAGTGTTGCTTATATCTGAAGCTGAACGCAATCACAGCCAAAGGTAGATAGCACAATGTGTGTACAGGTGTGGCCGAAATGGAGCAACTTTGGACAAAATTGAATATAAAGGGCTATTCTAATAGACCTACATCGTGTCTCAATCCATTCTGCAAATATATACAAGCTGTCAAATACAGCTGAAATCATGAATTTATGGTAGCTAGCAATATTGATGGACTGTTGGAAAGAGCATCCAAAATTACATTAACTCACCAACTCTCCAATTATTTGATATTTTCCTGATATCTTAAATACTAGTTAATGTACCCTTCCCCAACAGCTTTTATTGCATCATCAAAAAGTTAATTGTTTCGCATTTCTACTTCTTATAAAAAGTCTCACCACTATCCAATTATCTATATATTTAACCCTATCCACAAATTGGTTTGTAATAAACATATTACGTTGTCATCTTGCGCTCGACTGTTCTGCCAAATACGCTATTGAATTGCCATATTTCTAGGTCTTACTCTTAGACGATACAATATAGCAATTTGGGACATTGATTCAGGTAATAGATATATGTTAATCAACGTAACTTTGAATGATAATCTGGATGCTGACTTTCTTTTCCTGAAACAATAATAGCGTAGGAATATAGTTTACACTATCTTATTTATTTCGTGTTCGCGGCTGGACTGCGTTCCTTAGAATATCAATGGAGGCTGTGTTGCGTTGTTGAAATAGCTTTGTTTACTGGACTGCGTCCACTATGAATGCGCAGTTTAAATCTAATTTTCTCCTCATGAACACATTCTATTATCAAATCATTTTCACGAATTATACTCGGAGCCTCAACTAACCTTTAGATATCAGAAACGTGTTAAAACTCCTTTCAAATGTATAGTAAATTAAATAATATGCACATATTTTACAGGTAAAATCAGAACTTTGCTACTGTTTTAGCTTGATCTGGACAACTGCTTATTTTCTTATCTACAGACCAACAGTAGATACAGAGTAATATTTTGATCACCGATTAGACACTACGATAGCATTTAAAATACCTTGATTTCTCTATTTTGTCGGAAGAAGCAGAAGGCACTGCCGGATGTCCCTCCATTTTGGCGCTGGGCTGCGGTGTAAAGTTACGCGAGTCGCAGTCCGTGGCTTCGCCCTCGTTTTGCTTATCCCCCGTGGTAACACTGATATAGATATTACATCAACCACTATTATTGTACGTTATAAGTTAATGACGTCCTGAGGCAGCTATGCCATCAAGTATAACGACATCGGTCTGTTGAGCTCGATACTTATTCAACTCCGTTGATAGATCATTGTACACATTAGCTTCCTCTATCTGCCTTTTTCATATATCAGCCATTTGTATTTATGACAACACTTTGGCCAAACTAAGAAGTTGCATTAATTCCCTAGCTGTTCACTTTCAAATGATGCTATATGTTATTCATATTTACTAGTCGATATATTGCTGTATTTATATGGTTAAGTTTGTATCGATGCTAGGTAGAGTCAGTGAACAGACTTCATTTAGGATTTCAGTCACGCTGATTTTTACATATCGTTCTTAAAAGTACAGACTTTCTGTAGTTTCACGTTTGAAGGCATCTTTTACCTGAAATGAAATAATTTAATAAGACTATTTCCACTTCTCAACGGATGCCTGAAGAGACACGTGCCATGAAGGGAATTCATGTTCCTACTTAAGACTATTTCCACTTCTTCTCGACGGATTCCTGAAGAGAAACGTGCCATGACGGGAACTCATGTACCTACTGCATGGTTGATGTACCCTGTATTTTTGTACACTTTAGAGTGAATTTTCATCTTACCGACTCTCCGACCGTAAGCCTCATTATTATATGATTATCAAATCTTCACACTTCCTAGATTGTCGTTAGATGTCTTCTGAGTTATGTTTTGCCGAAGTTGTCTGCATCACATCTTATGTTATAGAATCATATTCACCAATAATAATTTGAAGCCATATACGTTATTGTTTCCTATCGTATCATCGTTGTTTGTAGTTTTAACTCATCTGTCATTCCTATTCCCAATGGGTCACCCGATATTGAGTCAACGTTTCTTGCAGTTAAATATGAGCTTAAGGTCGTCTCTGAAGTTGACATTCATAAATGAATAGATAATAGGGTTGGCCACATTGTAGGCAAAGTACATGTAGAAAACGATTATATTGAATGGGATGATATGCAGCGCGATGAGCCACGCGGGAAGAAAGAACACAATAAATACAAGGGTGACGACGAATAACATTATTGCTGTCTTTAGATTGGCAATAACTGCCTTGTCTTTAAGTGTTGACTTTCTTCTTAGACGTATCTTTTCGGCCTTTGATTGCTTTTTCTTACACGTGGAGCCGTTTGTTGTAGCATGAAGATGGTGTCCATTTGTAGAGGTGAGCTGCGTCTCTTCAGAGTTAGCATCGGGTACATGGAGATTCATCGATTTACCCTCCTCTCCACGCTGTTTCAGCCGTTTACTTCGTCTCGCAAGAACAGAATGGTAGATCATTACATATAAAACTACCACCATGATGAAACTTATGAGAAATATTGATGCACTGATCTTCTGGTAGACCCTTCTTGCTGAGTCGTCGAGCAATATAAAACTGGGCGCACAAACCCCCGTATATGTTATGTTTTCCGTTTGTTTAATGCTACTTTCGGTAGTCAATAAAGCATTATTAAGAACAGTATATGTTGCTGATGAGATGTTTCTGGTTGATTCGCCTTCCAATTGCGAACTATTTACATACGATACCATGGTTGAGTTGACGATTTTTTTCTCGTAAACTCCATAAAACAGCGATGTAAACGTACCGAGGGTACATGCCAGTGTGGCAAAACAGATTATGATCACCTTTGCCCTGAACGCAGTCATGGCATGTAAGAATGGATGACAAATACAAAAGTAGCGGTCGATCGCAATCGCAACCATGATCAGCGCAGCAAATGGTACTGTACATGTTATCAAAAAATGATACAGTTTGCAGAGAAAATCGAAATCGCCAATTTCAAATCTTAAGTACTCCATGACAATTGTATATGGAATTGTTACAAGGCTGACCATCAAATCAGTTATCGCCAGTGTCAATATGAATATAGTAGATGTAAGTTTATCCCTCTTTCTGGAGTAGACATAGACGACCAATGAGTTTCCAGTAACACCAATGATACTGAAAAACACCAGCATTGCCATGATGGCGTGAATCTCAATCTGGGAAGGTTGATCCTCGGACTCTGCACGCGTTGCAGATGAGCCTCCAGATGAAGTGTTGATATTGGTCGCATTATCCATAAGCTCCATTCCTATAGGCTTGCTTACATCAAACTTTTCGCCCTCATCCATGTTGAAACCTGGAGATATAAAATAAAACCTCTTAGAATACAAAATTGACAAGCATATAATTTATCTCTTCCATTGTCTACACACTTTGTTTTGAAGTAAAACAAAGCTTAGCACATATGCATAATAATGAATCGGGAACTAGACGAGGATCTAGAGTGGAAACACCAGGAAAAACGCGATTACGATAACAATATCAAACAATCATATGAACATGTTCATAACCCAGAACAAGCCATCGGATTTGACAAACCCTGAGAACCTTGCCTTGCTAAAAGATGCACGAGAAGCGAGGATTGAGCATATTAATGAGCATGAAGACAAACCAATATATCACTCGCCTTAATATCTATATCCATTCATGTTTTATAATAGTTTTCTGACCACTCGAGGCTATTAACGGAGAAGATTTTATTGATGATATAGGAATTATAGGATTAGAGTAGCTGATTGAATCTGTATCGGTATATGATATATTTCCATTTTCTTCTTTAAGTTACTTCTTGGATATTTCTGTCCTCCATTGCCGCTATACAGAAAGTGGCTTATGATGTGATAATCAATACAATATACATTAATTAATAAAAACACCTTGCCGATTTGAGAATTATTGATCTTAAGTACACAAAAATCAGCGATTCGAACTCACTTTCGGTTAGGAAAGAGTGGAAATCAATTGTCTATGATAAAGTAGGTCTGATATGCTATGCACTGTGTGTTGTTAAGGCTATAAAGAATGGTATAATGACTATAATTCTTGACTTGATTCCAAGCCCATTGGGAGATGGATTTACTCAATAATGTCGTTGCTCAAATCGTGTTATCCCTTTCTTAATTAGCGTTAGACAAATGAAAAAATAATTCGGACTTGACTAAATTGAGAGACCAAATAGCTCTGTCGATATCAAAATATTTGTCTTGATTTACCGTGTTTGTTTGATGAAACGAGACTGGGTGATTCTTTCGAATGTATTGTGTAAATATATTCTTGGATCATTGTATTTGCTAATTTTCTAACTCGCAAATTGGAAAGATTCGATCTGTCCACTTAAACGTCCAAGATGTAAGTCTCCCATTTATCATCTCAATTTTCCATTGTAGCCTCCGAGACATTGCTAAAAGGTTTCTGTTACCACGGCAGTGAAGTGCCCATTAAAACATCCTTTTTAGTCCTAAGACTTCGTACAAAAAGGTATGAATATCTCGGAAAACAATGAAACAGCAAAGTAAGCGCATCATTAGAATTATGTATTATATCATTGATCCAAGTCTTAAGATCTCCGTCAAACAATTGAAAAATTGTGATTGATGACGTGCCCTAACGACTAACATTTCTCTGGAAGCTTACACATGAATATTGATGCTTCCTGGCTCGAATCTCGCATCTATCTTGTTGCTTTAAAATCATTGGATGCGGACAGAGAAGAGGAGGGAAATCCCCAGAGCTTTAGACATGATTACGTCTCTTACTTACCACCTTCGTTTGTTCGAATTTTCACGGGCTAGTTTCTACTACACTTCTATGGTGCTAAAATTGTATCAAAATTGGACATCTTATACTAATGTGATATCTCTTACATATTAACCCTACTATCACACCCAAACTAGTTCTCACTACGTTCTCGAAAACGGGATTCAACTGTGTACGAACGGACTGGACGTACTTAGAACCGTTTGGGGTCTATTTACAAACTTCATTGAACGTACTCGAACGGGTAGGTCCTCTAGAACATAGAACATGCTCAAAATGTTCTCGTGGTCGTCACGTTCTACAATTAGAACGAGTGACAACGTACTAACGACGAGCTGGACGTAATACGAACGGAACCGTCGTATTTCAATCCTACTAGGGACGTTTTTACAACGAGATGAACTGTCTGAGGACGTATTGAGAACGAGGTAGAACTAATTGCAAACGGGTTTAAACTGATTAAGAACGTATTGAAGACTGCTTATGAACGAGTTAGCAAAAATATAGCTATTACACTTAAGAAGTTGCCACTGCGTTCTTCAAAACTGGTTTTAAACTGTGTGCGAACGGAATGAACGTAGCTACAACGTTCTACGGTCTGTTTACGAACTTCATGGACTTTCCCGGACGGGGAATGTGAATTAGAACTTTGAATCGATTCAAAATACGATGGCGAACATACCGTTCTGTAATCAGGTCATGATGACCTTCTGGACTAAGGGACGCGTTATACGACGTTGCACACCGACGTGGTGCGACCTGAACGAACTGCGAATGAGATGAACGTATTGAAGACTGTTTATGAACAAAGTAGCTAATTATTTTAGACATATTTCCCGACCACAGCCAGATTGAGCCCGTTTTACAACGTTTTCGTAGGACTGGTCTGGTGTGATAGGTGGGTAAATAGCGTCTAGCAGAATACATACACAATCCGTGTGATTTCATACACGGTTCCGACGGTTCGAGTTTGCACACTTGATGTAGCACAGATTGGTTTCTAGAGATTTTGTTCGCGATTTTGTTCAAAATCTCGCGTTACTTTTGAAATTCTATGGAGGGCGCCGTATTGTGAAAACCAGGATGTAACCCCCCTATCACACCAAACTCGTTCTTACCCGTTCTTGCCAGTCCTACGAAAACGTCGTAAAACGGGCTCAATCTGGCTGTGGTCGGGAAATATGTCTGAAATAATTAGCTTCTTCGTTCTTAAAGGGTGACGCATATCGTTTAGCAAATCGAACGCTCGTTTCTGGTGTTGCTCACCGTTTAGTATAAAAGGCCCGATCCCGGAATAATACTCAAGGGTTCACAGGCTCGAGGTCGTTGTGTCAACACCTCTAACTGTTATATAGCATAAGTATATTATAAATCGTCACACATTTATAAAAGGGTGATTTTTATTTTGACAAATCAATTCCACATTTATGGGTGAAGTTTCAGGATCGTCTATTTGTGTATAATAAGGAAAAATTGACATCTAAATTTCCCCATAACGTAATAGCACACAGCTTGGCATATGAAATATCCTACAAACGAAACAAAGCAGTTCTAATACAAGGATTTATATTGGCTGTTGTATTCTTTGAACGCAATCACTCTATGGATAACGTTTTCAAAATCATTATAAACGGATTACTTTATCTCAAAGACAATTTCAATAAACTGGATTTTACAGAACTCCCCTTATTTCTTAAAAATGGACTGATCCAGGAGCCGCCATATTGTTTTTATACGGGAAGCTTATCGGAACCCTTTAAACAGTCTTCAATACGTCCTTCTCGTTCGCAGTTCGTTCAGGTCGCACCACGTCGGTGTGCAACGTAGTAGAACGCGTCCCTTAGTCTAGAAGGTCAACATGACCTGATTGCAGAACGTTATGGTCGCCATATCGATTCAAAATTCTAAAATCACATTCCCGTCTGAGAACGATCATAAAGTTCGTAAATAGACCTTAGAAAGTTGCAGCTACGTTCATTCCGTTCGCGCACAGTTTTGAAGAACGCAGTGGCAACTTGTTTGGTGTGATAGCTATATTTTTGCTAACTCGTTCATAAGCAGTGTTAAATACGTTCTCAATCAGTTTAAACCCGTTTGCAATTAGTTCTACCTCGTTCTCAACACGTCCTCAGACAATTCAACTCGTTGTTAAAACGTCCCTAGTAGGATTGAAGTACGACGGTTCCGTTCGTAGTACGTCCAGCTCGTCGTTAGTACGTTGTCACTCGTTCTAATTGTAGAACGTGACGACCACGAGAACATTTTGAGCATTGTCTAAGTTCTAGAGGACCTACCCGTTCGAGTACGTTCGATGAAGTTTGTTAATAGATCCCAAACGGTTCTTAGTAGGTCCAGTCCGTTCTTACACAGTTGAAGCCCGTTTTTGAGAACGTAATGAGAACTTGTTTGGTGTGATAGTAGGGTAAGACAATCAACTGTTGCTATAACATAGATTGAAAATCGCATACGATCATGCGAGTTTCGCATATAATGATGCGTATTTCGCATATTATGATGCGAGTTTCGAATCATATAGTTAGAGTGTCGCATCATATGGTTCGACTTTTCACATGGATCGTGTATTGTCCAATTTTGATACAAACTAAATTCCATACACTTCGATGTGATGCTTTAATTGATAGAGGCATATTCCCTACACCTTTTTTATAATGATATGAACTAAGAAGCATTGATATTGGTTAATACGCCAAAAATGAACATAATACTATGCGAAGCGTATTGCAAAAATGTTGAGGCCGCCATTTTCGTTTGTCAATATTTTGGCCCATCAGAGACGTCGGTCATCTCAATACATCCTTACATTATAAGCGTCATCTTTGAACTCTGGAGTTAATCCACCCTGCGGACAGAGGCAACATTGTGAAAATCAAAGATGGAGTAATACACTCTCGACCAACTAAGACATTCATTCAAATTATCAAAAAGTCATCAATTAAAATACACCGGGAGTAATTAATCGTTCTTTTCGGACTCCCGTTGTCACCATTGTTTTTAGTTGTATCAAATGTGTATCGTGTTATAATTTTTTAAAATTGCACCTCAAATCTAATCACAGGCTCATTTTTATAAACATTATAGTGATTTGTATTGATGTTCTAAGCTGCGATTATGATCACACATAAACAGGACAAATTTGGGAATCAAATTCAATTTCATTAATCCCAATAACAGTTAAACAATTTGATATTATCCGATTCCAGAAGGGATGGAAAAATTCCGGGAGATTAGGTGGGCAAACCTGCTGTCAGGACAATGGACGACCTTCTAACGAATTACTGTCACAAATATCCTGGTATGAGCCATAGATATCTTGTATATAATATCTGGGATTGTTGAATGCGTATCATTAATCATTCAATTAATTAAACCAGACGCGATGATCTTTCTGAAAGAGAAATATCGAACTTATTTGTCAAAGCAATGTTTTTTTTCAATGCGACATTATATTGTATTCAATGGGATTGTTCACTATGAAATATGGTTGCGATTCTTTTGACAACTTCAATTAATTAATAACTGA